AGTGTAGAACCACAAACAGAACAAGTCGGAGCGGGAGCCACGACACATGTCTCACTCCTCCGCCATCTTGCCCCGCCTCTCAAGTTGAACAAAGCTTTTCAAAGATTTTCTCATGTTGAAAGTAAGGTGCTGCGCAGCTGATCTGCCCCTACCTGTAATGATGCCACAATCTGGCCTTCTGATTGGCTGAGACTGTTACCGGGCAGAGTAGCTTTTTGAGTCTTAAAACAAAGAAGGGGCTTTCTGTAATTCAACTTGGCACCCAGATTGCTCAGCAGTTTTAAGACATACAAAGTTGAAATTTTGTGGGTTGGTAGCTGAGAGCTAACGCAACACATTCTTAATGCTAATTACAAGTTTAAGCTAATTGCTAATGCTAGTTATAAAATAAAGCTCTAATTCAGCCATTTTAAGACTTAAAAATCTAAAATCTGATAAAGAACAAGAACAAGATTGGCAAATTCTGAATATTAAATAAAAAATTCAAGATGGCCACCAGAGCTTCTTTGAAACTGCAATAACTCAGCCATTTTAAAACATTTTTAGCTAAAATTTGGTGTGGTTATAGCTAAGAAGGATCTCCATCACATACCGAAGCCAAATGAAAAATCTAAGATTGTTGCCATAGCTAAAGTGCAAAATTGACCACAACTCAGCCATTTTTAGACATATTTGGATAAAATTTGGGATGATAGTAAAGAGCACAGTAATCTCTAACAAATGGTAAAATCAAATCTTTATTACAATTTTACAGCACGTGGCAAGCCATTTCATATTTTTTCCAGAAACTATTGTAGTTATTAATCTTCTATTTCTAAATGAATTTCCTGTTTTTGTTTTGGTCCCACAGGCTAAAGGAGTCCATGATCATCCCAGACCAGAATCCAAGTCTGAAACTGAAGCCAGAAGAAGTTCAGTAAAGAGACGAGTCAGCTCACCGCCATTCACACCCAAAAGACGACTCATTGAAACGCAGGTCAGCTCAATGAACAACAACAATGGCTTCTCTAACTCTGTTGTTTATGCACAGTTTTTATTGTTAATTATTTCATCATTGTTCTTGCAGGTTTTTGTTCAGAACTTATTTATCATGTCTTTGTTTTACTGTTTTAGGCTATTGGCCCCGCCCTACTCTGTGTTGAACCAGCTGATCGAATCTCGTTCATTGAGCCTAGCTTCTCTCAGCATTACCCAGCATTCCAGAGCCCTGATCCTTACTACAACCCCCACAATGCACTGGGAGACCCTTCACCTGCACTGCAGAAACCATCTAATCCAAGACTGTACATGAGCAGACCAGGRTATGAGTTCCAAGGATACCTGGCCTCACCTTCGTATCCTGTGACCTCTGACCTCTGTGAACCCAGGTGACCCTCACACAGTCCATCTAGACCACTTCCTGCTCGTGTAAAGAGACCCAAACCAGATTTAAAGTCCATAATAATCCAACATGTTCTGCTTCAGTGTGTATGACTTAGATCCTGATTTGTTTGCAGGGTAGCACAAGTCTTGGGTCCTTCTTCAACCTCCTCATCATCAGCAGCCCCTCTCTCTTCCTCTTCCTCCACCTTTGAAACACAGACAAAGCCCCCATCCACCTGGAAGGAGCTGCTGAAGAACTCCTCCCCCTACAGTGACAACCACCATTACTACAGCACCGAGTATCCCTGCCGTTATCCCAGTAACCCCCCAGGGTCCCCTGCTGCTCTACAGACCATCATCACCACAACAACCAAGGTGAGTTGGATTCAGCTGGGTCACCTGATGTAGGTCCTGTAGTCCAGTGGTCAGGGTGTTTGTAGGAGTCCAGAGGATCAGGGTATCTAAAACCTTGTTGAGCTACTGTCAGAGACTGGCGAGCCAGCAGCAGCTGATCAGTCTGGAACCAGAACTCCTTGTGAATTGTAAATGGTTTTCTGTTTTCACTGTAAACTCAGTTTGTGTATCTGAAAAGAATCCTGGACATCTGTATCAACAGTTAATATGAGGGTGTGTTTGTCTCACTGTCCTCTTTAGGTCTCCTACCAGCCCTGTCCAAAGCCTCCCACAGCTCTGCCTCCATACCAGTCTTGTACTAAACCTCCAATGGGCCTCCCGTCCTACCAGCCTTGTGCACCTCCCAAAGCCCCAGTCCTCCCCGGCTGCTCCTCCCTGCTGGATGATGCTTCTTCACCTTCATACTCCACTGAGGTGAAGGTCACAGAGGAGTCGGGTGGTGTCATAAAGTCTCTATCGTTTCCTCCAGAACCTCTGCAGACCAAAACCGAACGAGCTGATGGCTACGACTACCACTATGCCTACCCCAACACGTACCGCTACGATGACTACTAACTCTGTTACAATGGTGACTGGAACTGATACTGAGCAACAAGACTTTGTTGCCAGAGCAGTTGCAGATAACAACAGCACCTGAACACAGCTGGTTCAACCACAGCTAAAACTGAAAGTCTTTGCAAAGAGGTGAGACACGTGAAGAAAATGTAAACTCAATCAAACCTTCCTGAAGTTTTTACTGTTGGGCACTTCATCTCTTTGTTGAGTTTCTATCAGAACAACCATTCTACAGACAGCTCCACCTGGTCCACCCAGGTGTAAAAACTCCAGCCAATAGCTGTGGCATCTGAAGAATGACTTGTGTTGTGGCTTCTATTGGTCCAGTTCACGGTCCACATGTATGTAACACATGTATGTAACATGTGTATACAACACATGTGTGTAACACAAGACGCTACTGAAAGCTTTCATGGAAACACCAATAAAATCAATTATTATTAACCTTTATTTAACCAGGTAAACCTCATTCAGATCACAGGTCTCCTTCAAGTGAGGTCTGGACCTGAAGGCAGTCTAACATCAGATTTTTGGTCTGTGGGAAGGACCAGGAGAACCCAGAGAAAACCCACACAGACATCAAGAGAACATGTAAAGTCCACACAGAAAGATCCTTGGTCTGAAAAACCCTCGGTCTGAACCCAGGACCTTCTTGCTGTGAGGCATCAGTGCTAACCACTAAACCACTGTGCTGTCAAAGACTGGTTCCTGTGTGGAGAACATTCATGGAGCAACCAAGAACATTGGTTCCTGTGTGGAGAACATTCATMGAYCAYCCAAGAACAWTGGTTCCTGTGTGGAGAACATTCATTGAACAGCCAAGAACATTGGTTCCTGTGTGAAGAACATTCATGGAACATCAAAGAATGTTGGTTCCTGTGTAGAGAACATTCAGACTCTGCCAAAGTTCTGTTTGTTTGTTTGTTTGTTTGTTTGTTTGTTTGTTTGTTTGTTTGTTTGTTTGTGTTTGGGGGAAGGGGTAAGAGGAACTTGGAGAGTGAAATCAAATGTTTTCTCATGCTAACAGAAGATCTGGTGAAATGATCAGCATGAAGAAAAACTGCAGAACCTGTAGGATCCATCAGTTAAAAAGTTCTACGTGTTCTGATAGTTTGATCTTTCAGGTGGAAAATGTTGGACTTGATGGTTCTGAAGAGATTTATAATGTTTCTGTTTAAACAGCATCAAACCATTAGAATTTATTTTCTGTTTCATTTTGAGTGTGAGAAACATCCAGAACATCAAGTAAWCCCAGAACCACACAAGGAGTTCCTTTTGTAGTTTGAGATGAAAAGTGAAGATCTTATTTTCATCTTTGACTTGTGTAACATTTCAAGACAAACAGCTGAGAATAAACTTAAGTTATAACTTTAAGAAGTGTTGTTTGTTTCTTCTCTGAAGGGCGGTCCTCTAATTCCACAATGAAAACACTAAATTTAAACAGGGACACCTGGACATGTCTCCGGTCCACCACAGGGACACTTGGACAGGTCTCCGGTCCACCACAGGGACACNGTCCACCACAGGGACACTTGGACAGGTCTCCGGTCCACCACAGGGACACTTGGACAGGTCCAGGGTCAGTGGTCCTTGTTATTTTGCTGCTGTTGGTACCAGCAGCTGTTGTTGTTGTTTACTTCTTAAAGCTGAGKCTTGTTGAGACATCCCACCTGAGAACATCTGTCTTGTTGACCGAGGTGGAACAAGTTCCTATGGTGAGCAGGACCAGCGTGTCTAGTTCCCACTGGGCCAGTGTAGAACTGAACAAACCCATCTGGGCAGAACATTTTAGACCATTTCTCCACCACAGGCTGTAAAAATGAAGCTGACAGAAAGTGTGACTCTCAGAGAAGACAGATGGTAAGATCCACCATGACCACCTGATGTGGGTCGGTTCTGATGAACATCCAGCCTTGTCATCTGCAGAACAAACACAGCATTTTCAGTGGTCCTGCTCCTCACAGGCGGTCCTCCTGGACCCAGAACCTCAGTTGAGAAGCTTGTAGCAAAGGACCAAAGAGATGCTGTTTGGATAACGGCTGTGTTGTTTTGACAAGAACCTGTCAGAACAGGACCGGCTGTGGCCTTCTCACAATGAACCCTTAAAACCCAGAGAACCTTTTCAGAACCCCCACTCATTCCAGAGGCTTCTGCACTTATGGGTGACCTTCAGGCCTCCACAACATTCAGTGGTAGATGGTTCTGCACTCAGGAGAACCATTCAGTCTGATCCAGAACCACAGACAGGAAGGTTCAGCAGACTGTCCCAGTTCTGACTCAGGAAACCCATCAGCCAGCGCCTCACCTGAAAACCAGGTGAGTTATGCTATTCTATCTTTTTATCATCTGATCTTCCTCTCTACCTTCTTCATTGCTCTTTCACACGCAAATCCTTTCGTCCCTCTGCCTCTTCTTCTTCTTCTTCTGCATTAAATAAATCACTGTGTGATGACATCAGAAACCTTTCCAAYCAACGACACATCTGCCCCCACCCCCACCCCCACCCGGGATGTGGCTCTGCACTAATGGATGTTTTCAATGTGATGCTACATGGTTGTGATTCAGAGGCTGAGGGTGGGCGAGGGGCTGGGGTGAGGCTGAGGGGAGAACTCTACAGGACTGTACAGCACCTCACTGAAACCAGAACCACAGGGACAGGACCAGAACCTGCTGAGGTAGAGATCAGAAAAACCTGTGATGACAGGATTTTACCTCTTTTATTCTTCTTCTAGTAAAAAGTGAGGATTTGAAGTCAGATTCAAAATTTATTTCTAGACTGAATCTTTTTTATTCTGTGTCTGATGTGACAATGTTTTACATGAAACATTTGGTTTTGTTCTAACTGAACAATGTTCCTGTTTCACCAGGATGGTTTGTCAGAAACAGGAGATTGTAAAAGTATTCAACCAACTTTTAAATCTCAGCATGATGCTGCCACCACCATACTCCACTTCTGAGCCGTTTCCTGGTCCCTGTTGATGAATAGCACTCCCACATCARGAAGCAGAAGATGGAGGGACGATGATGAAAGAAGGCAGCCCGTATAAATAAGCTGCTGCATCAGAGAAAAGTGAAATTACAACAACCTCCAAGTCAGTGAAGAAACCTGCTCCCAGAGATGAAAGAGGAGATAAAAACYTTTCAAGTGGACTAAAAAGCAGAACATCATGTCAAATTCAGCTGCAGAAGTATTTGCTGGATCCTGAAATATGTCTTTGTTGATTTCTTCCTTTTAGTGCAGGAGACCTGGTGGTTGTTGGTATCGTGAGAAGCCTTATCAAAGCAGGACAACTCAAAGACATGTACTGTCTTCTTAAAGAAGCATGACAGTGCCAGTCTGATCCAAATCAATGCTCAAAGCTTCAAAAAGACCTGATAAGATCAGGGCCGGATGATGTTTGCAGCTCGGTGGAAGATCAGSATTTGTTTATGACTCAAACTCAGTAAAAAGCTTTACAGCTGGAGGATGATCCTGATCTTTTATTTTGGGACTCTGATGACTTGTTTGAGTTCAGGAGATAAATCTAAAGAGGAGGAATGCTTCAACGCTTAAACTACCAACCTCTCCAGTTTGTTTCCACATAAATACCTCCCTACCCCTACCCCTACCCCTGTTCCTAACCGTTCATCTGAATCCAAATCTTCAGTTTAAAAACAATCCTTCATTAGTTACAACCTCAATCTGGTACAAGTCAAACCAAGTCAGACTGATGGTTCTGGGTCCTACAGTCAGACTGATGGTCCTGGGTCCTACAGTCAGACTGATGGTCCTGGGTCCTACAGTCAGACTGATGGTCCTGGGTCCTACAGTCCGACTGATGGTCCTGGGTCTTACAGAGTC